AGCTAAAGAGGAGTGCAGAGAATAGGAGATGTTCTGTGGAAGCCTTATCTTCCACTCGGAACTCAAAGTAACAATAATAATAACAATAATAATATGCTTCATTTTAGTTCGGGTTTTTTTTTAGTAAGACAGCAATCGATCAATAAATTTTGAATCTTCACTTCCTTCTATCTTTTTACTGTTTTTTTTTCTATACTTGAATGATTTATTTTAATAAGTAGCGTGGATTATGTGTAAGATATTCGCTGTGTCTCTTCCTTGCTCCTATTCCTTCCTTCCTTCCTTCCCTCCTTCCTTACATAATCACTACTTTTAGTCATTTTTTTTCCTTATTCTTACTGATAGTGTATACTCTCCCCCTTTTCTTCACACACCTCTCTCCCACCCCCACCTACCATCGCGTAATAGTAATTATCATCACTAAGCCTAAAATGATGAACTTATGGTGATAAACACCCTTGACCAAGAAATGGAATGATATTTTAGTCATTAATTAGGTTCATTTTTTCTTGTTTTTTATTTTTGGTCTTCTAGCTCTCATCTGCACACGCTTGTTAATCAAACCGCCTTTCGTTTTGTATTATTTTTTTTTCTCACCTCAGTTTACTATGTCTACAAAGTATAATAATCTCGAACGATAGAAAGTAAAATGAATGAAATATGAATGATGGATAATCTCTTCAAAATTTCAAGTTTTAATCAGATTTTTCTACCGAATTTTTATGAGATAATTAGGTTTTCTAATACTATTACTACTGCTAATAACAATAATAATATTAATACTATTGATGTCTTTGATAAAAGTGGCAACAATAGGCAGTGAAATGTATACGCTTTCTGCCTTTTAGTTATTTAAAGACATAAAAATATCCTTCTTGCCATTATTTTGTCAATTCACATTAGTGTTTATTCAAGTTGAATACTACTCTATTCCTGGGTTTTTATCTTTCACTGTTTGTTGCATGAATTATCTTGATATTGTCTTTAAGAGTTAGTTTGTAGAGGGTTACATTTGTTTCTAGTCTGTCAGTTAGAAAGAGTCGTTGAAAATCACCACTAGAGTGTACTGAACAGCTGTTTCGTCCTACTTTGGCACCCTTCAGTATTAAGCAACCACACAACCTCACAAGACATAGAGTTCAACACCTTCAGGTTTTGAGATCAAACACGTTGATTATTCAGTCAGTTGAGCACGGATTCAATAACATATGGATTTAAATTTTGTTAATTGGCGATGTTAACGCAACCCTGCTGGTCAAGACTTCTTACTAGAATTGCAGGCAACCGACATCGGATGGTTGTTGTGCTGAAATTGCAACATGACAGAAGTTAGAATTCATGGTTGTTGGGGGGGGGTGCGGCACATTGGATTCCTGCTCAAGTGAATGGATGTGGCAAACGAGCTTGAACTTGTTAACCTGAAAGTCATATGTTCGAAATAGGTGAGGTTGTGGTTTCCAGTGATTTGTCTATCTAGCTGACATCAATCCATAATCAAACTTAATATCGTCTGTTTGCCAGCTTAACAACCATGAGCAGTCTTCAAAGGCCTGAAATGTTCGTTGTTGTAACTAAATAGTTGAGAAGCATAATAAAAATTCATTCATTCCATTTATTCGAGAATTTATTAAATAGTTGTTTAAATGTTTAATATTTAAAACTGACTAATTAAAGTCCTAGTTTCAAAGAAGAACCAAATGTGTTGTTACGTATGCCTTAATTCCACTGGGTACATTAAAAAGTATTAAAAGTGTTAAGATTTATTATGATTATCTGTGATAGAGAAGATTTGTAGCTCAAGTGGATAATTTTGATGTAGTTGTGCTCTCTAAGCTGGATGGTTTATTTGCTAAGCCTTCATTGCCCTACTAGGTGACATCTTCAGCACGCATACTTCAATTTGAATTGAAGTGGGCTATTAGATTTCTCCAACTCAGTAAATAAATTAAGTCAAATCTTAAAAGTTATGTAGTACTAAAGGTGAAGTGGATAGATAATCAGAGTTTAAAGAAATACCATAGGAGTACGAATGAAATTGAAAATAAGAAAGGGTGGATTCGAGTCTTTCGAGCGGAATTCGAACCCCCCCCCTCCGCTTTTTACACATAGCCGGAACTATGAGAATTAATTCTAGAGAACAATCGTAGTCTTTGCATACAAAAGAAGTTTGTTCTACTCTTGTCTCTCCCTTGGCCTGGGCAAAGTCTAATAGAAACCCTCCCACCCTCTCTTATTTTCCATTTCTTTCGTATTTCTATGATATTTATTTAAACTCTGATTATCTGTCCACTTCACCTCTAGTATTACGTAACTTTTAAGATTTAACCTCATTTATATATTGAATTGTCTACGTATACTTATACGTATTACTACCTTTGTTGTTCTTATCGCCACCTGCATAAACCTTATTATCAGTATTTTGTTATCATTATAATCATCGTTATTATTCATATTCAAAACGTTTACCACATTATTATTGTTATTTGATCCAAACAATTACCGTCATTGGTTAAGATTTTTATATATAAATCTATGTAAATTAGAGTAAAGCCTGAAGAAGCTCTAATTGCAAACAAAAATACTGTTCGCTTATATATCTTGTCCTAATATTAATAATGGGAATATTTAAAGATATAAAAAGCATATGTTCAGAGGAATGCATTAAGGAAGAAGTGTGTAAACTGAAACTTACACTACAACAAAATCGATATCCAGAGAATTTCCTACCCTAGAGACAGGGTAACGATGGGTACTGCAGATAACAAACCTTTGTATCTTAAGCTAAGTTACAAGGGGGAAATTCCGGCTGACATTCTAAAATCTCGACCTAACAGAGTAGTATAAAGGACATTTCCCGCAACTAAACCAGTACTTACACAATGAGTCAAGGATAAATTACCAAAGAAAGCCTCAACAATCCGGACCTAGGAATTCAACTGTTCATGTGGAGCTAGTTACATTGGCCGTACTCAGAGGGCTTTATCCATACGTTCAAGTGAACATGCACCTGTATGGTTGAGTAAAGGGGTAAACAAATGCGTAAAAAGTACAGTCTTAGCCCACTTGGTAGATACTGCACACTCGATAAGGCCTGAACAGGCGTTCCCAGTTATTTACCGCATTCCTGGTAATCTACCTATAGGAGCTCGGTCACAACTTCTACCAGTAGCTAAAGCGGTTGCAACCAATACCGGAAGACCGACTGCCTGTATGCAGAATAAGTATGTCCAACGACTATGTCTACCTTGGCCAACAATAAGGCCAATCAATCCTCCATAAACATTAGCACTTCAAATTCCTGTCTCATCTTTTTTTCCTTTTCTCTTGTTCCTTTCCTCTGTTTCATTGACAAACGTTCATTTTTGACTTTGTGACTTCATGACCTTTCTAATGATTTCTATTACCTTAGGTTTAAGTAGTGCTTTTCTAAATTGTCATCATATTTACAAAATCCTGTTCATTTCACTTCACTAAATTCATTATTATTAATATTTGATAATCATTCACCGAAAGTACTTTTAAGTTTACACCACATAATCGTCATTATTTCACAATCATTATAACTGTTATTTTCAACCTTGAACTTATGCCTAGTCCACCCCATTTGTCGGTTTATTTTCTTTAGTATTCATGTTGTCTTACACGTCATTGATTACACTCACCTTCGAAACCTGTATTTTTGTTGACCACACTTATATATATGTATACATCATTAAATTATTTCATCTCATATTTTATCTCATGTTCTCATTGACTATACATATTCACAACTAACTGACTATTGCTCCATCCCATCTCCTAATTGTTCCACAATACACATTTCTGATATGATTTTAATTTGCCTTTACTGGTTGGCTATTGTATGCTTAAGTTATATAAATCGCGAATTGGAAGAACTTTGAAAATATAGAGTATATTCATTGGATCGGGTCCAAATGGCTGTATGATCTACGAGCTGGCCTTGTGAACAAAAGGCCCAGGGTTCGAACCTCAGTGGGTACGTGTTACTTAGCAGTCTAAGGCATTAGGATGGAACAGCTGTGCAGTACTCCTTGTTAGTATTACAGTGGTTCTCTGACTGATTTCAATTTCGTGATCAATCCTATAATTTCTAATTAGTGTAAAGTTTCCACTGTTCATTTGTGTCTAATGACTTATTTAGGGCGACTGACAGGCACTTGGACTCATGCGAAAAATGGGCTCAATCCATTCTACCTAACTCATACCACCACCCTCTTCATTCACAACTCTCTCCTTGTATCTCATCAAGCAAAAACCAGAAGCCTATACAGAAAACTATATGCTCGCACTAGTAAGTACAAAAACTCAACCATACTCTACTTAGCTCGTGTTCTGTGTGATAGAGAAAGCGTTAGGCGTGATACCTATGACTTAATAAGTAGTCAGTAGAACAACTGGATCTCGTCTTTCCAACTCATATCATTTATAGGTACGACGTTTTCTTTCTTTCTTTTCCTTTTCTCTCTCTTTCTCCCTTCTGTTATGTGCTGCTTTGTTTCTTTCTTCCTTACTAACTCTATTGAAACATTCTTCTTCGTTCTTTCAGAATCTGTATATCTCGACCTTTTCGTTACCGCTTACGCCAGTAAATATGCTATCATCTACTTTTCTAACACCTTCAAACACTCTGTTAAATTTTTGGCTTTGCTACCGACATGCCAATATGTTGTTGTCAAAACGAACTGAGATTGCCCTTAATCTATGTAGAACTTTATTTATTGTTAATGTACTAACTGGATGCAATACTGTAGTAAAATGCTGAGAATTCCATTCTGTATCACAAGTACTGTTTTGGAATAAAGCAAATCATTATTATTATTATCACAGTACTATTTTTGACAATACAGATGTTTTGCAACTAAACCAACCAGCTCAGAGAACACTATTAATTGCAAATCATCCACTTGAGCTACAAATCTTCTCTATTGATATAGATGTTAGTTAAATGTTATCAATATTTTTTACTTCTCTTTCCACAGAATATGCCGAATTTGAGAAACATTTCTGTCGTCAACTCAAAGCAGTTGGTCATAAATTATCCTATAAGTGTTTACATTCCCTAAGAGCTGAAAATAATAATGATAATGGCATCGAGAAAGATGTTGTTAGAGCTGATGAATCCCCTAGGAAATCCAATGATGCAGGAGGTAAAGACAAGACGAAACGAAAAACCACTGATGAACCAGCTGATAAAACAAGACAAGGTCAGCAGCTACAACAACAACAACAGAAGCGTCAAGTGAAAAAGAAATCGAAAACCTCTAAAAAACAAATGGGAGAGGAAGAGGTGTTGACTAAAGGTCAAAGAGATGACATGATCACCTATCCAAATGTATTATTGTTACGATGTCAAGTGGACTATGATCCTGCCAAAGAGAATCATCATCAAACTATACCGAAAAAAGTATTTAGTCTGAGGTCAGGGGATTTAGTCTATGTTATAAATACAGTGGACTCTGAATGGTGGCAGGTAAGTATTGTGCTAGTTATTTCTTTTTTATAAAACTGAATTACCATTAATTGAAAATCATTCATTATGCGCCTTCATACGTACTTCATCCTTTTTTAACTGCAAGGTAAAGCAAGAGGTTTGTTTCAATTGTGACCACGGATTGATCGTCCTGGTGCTTGGGACTCACTGCAAGTACAAATTCATTAGCTGGGTTCGCATCCAGGAACTTTCAGTTACAGGCATAGCGAGCTTGTAGACCATTCAGCCACTGGGACCTGACTCAATGACCAGATAATTAATTCCACCTTCTACCAATAAGTGATTTTAGTGCAATCGTCAGGCAATGTCATCATGGAGTATTTGTCCTCACTTCTGACCACGTGTACTTCAATGACAATGACTTCTCGTTAGAAAGAGCTGCAGGAAACTTTGTGCTGTAACCATTAGGTACACAGTGTCAATGATTGAATACCAAACATCAGGACAAAACGGCTGTCCATTACTCCCTACTGGTTTTCAATGCTTCCGCAACTGACATCAATCTATAATCAAACTTGAAACAAAACCGGTTTTCGATCGATCATAATTTGCATCAAGTTATCAGGATGAAATAGTGATTTAGTCAAGGGAAACTGGTTAACTTTATTTGTCGGCTTTATTCAATGAAACCTGTCATACTCAGCGTGCAACCACGGTGGTTCAGAGAGGACTTTATTTTCAATGTAAATATATATATATATATATATATATATATATATATATATATGTATATATCATGTGTGAGAAAGTTCCAGAATTATTTCCGTTCAGAGTTCAGATTGATAAAATTACTTAGTGTGATCAACAAAAGATAGGTAGTGGCACTATTCTAGAAATATTTCAGGTGAAAGGTCAAATTAAAAGTTACAATATGTAATAATCAGGAAGATCGGGTAGAAAAGACTAAGTAGGATTATAATTACTATAGAAGTATTTTGTCTTTTCTACCCGATCTTCCTGATTATTACATATTGTAACTTTTAATTTGACCTTTCACCTGAAATATTTCTAGAATAGTGCCACTACCTATCTTCTGTTGACCACACTAAGTAATTTTATCAATCTGAACTCTGAACGGAAATAATTCTGGAACTTTCTCACACATGATATATATATATATATATATATAAATGACTGCACAGCAGTCTTTTGACCTCACTTTTCTTACTTTGGATACGGAAAATAAGTTGGTCACTTGTCTAACCTTGAATGCTATTAAAAATGTCATAGCATGAGACTCTGTACGGCTCTGAGAAGATTAGCTTGCCATAAATGTGGCCATAGCCTTTCGGATGACAGAAAAGCCTAAATTATGTATAAAAAAGAAATAGTTATGACCGAAACCGATTCATTATGGTCTGAACACAGGAAATTGATTTCTGCATCCTACTGTATAGCTGTCCTAAACTTTCTTGAGATACTGGCAGCGACGAAATGCCCTAGAAGATGAGTATTAATGGTTGGATCTAAATGGTTCTATTCAACAGTGATAACATCAGAAACCCAGAATTACCTCAACAGTTTTGTGAGGGAGCTAAACAGGTAATGTGTGTTTCTAAATACAAAACAAGTACTGTAAAACAAAATAGGTTGACCAAAATTAAACTGTCAGAAGTACCAGAGAATCGAGTAGAATATTCCAACAAAGTGGGATGAAACTCTGTTAGCAAGAATCATATACCAGAGAGTCCCGGAGACAGTCCAAGATCACGATGACCTTGATTCACTCAAAGGAAACCACGTTGCAAAACATCACATTTGATTGGACACTAGTAACTAGTGTGATATGTCTATTAATCCCTTTGTTGCAGACTGAATTCTATTAGTTGGGTCCAAGACTTCCTCCCGACTGCCTCCAACCATCTAATATCATCAAATCAATGTGCAATAATGTGATGACGAGCTACCTAGAATGGTGGCCACAATACAAACCCGACTGATAGAATTCAGTCTGCACCCGAAAAAAAGACTAGACACATCCCACTAGTTAATAGTGTCCAATAAAAATATCCATTACAGTCCTACAGGAGGTCAATCGCAAGGCCGAATAGCTCAGCACTGGGTGATGTGGGTTTGAATCTCAGAAGGGACATCAGTTCCTTCAAGGAGGTTGCACATACGCCTTTCTGACTGGTGAATGCCACCTAGCACGACACCTAGGTGGAGGGTTTCTTGCCGATTGCTTCCAACCATTTAATATAATCAAACATCCCATTATCAGTACCATCAAACAATCACGAGAAGTACAAAAGCTAGCTGTTGAACATGGACAAAGACACACAATAAGGAGCAAGTTAACATATGATATTCGAATGTTAGAACAATGATATACAGTGTAGGAGAAAAATGGTAATGGTTGCGTGGTTAGTTGGAGCATTGAAATAAGCATAAATACAGTGGTTAGATCGTTCAGGAAGGACCTCCCACATAGTTCTTGCGCCCCAGAAATTTTCCCACCCTGTCTTTCTAGTCTGGGTATAATTTCAAACCCAGTTGTTAAAAGCGGTTTGTTTTTAATGTATATTTTTTGGCAATTTTAGTACGACATTTATTAAATAACCTTTTTTTCACTCTGTACACCTGTTACATAACATATTTTGGTACTTGGTTGTATGCTTTTCTGTTGACAATCTGGATTTTTCGGAACATTTCTTTGTATTAAGCAACCTTTGATCTGAATTTATCAGTCTTCACCCCCCCACACACACACATACACACCCGATTAGTTACAATTTGATTACTTATCATTGTTTTGAAATATTTTGATGGTGTAAACAATATTCAAATATTCCGACTGAATGTATACACGTAGGAAAATAGAATACACTTAAAGTTATTATTTCCCTTTAATAAAAATTATGATAAAACGATAAGAAGACCTTATTTGTCTGAAACGTGTAGTGCATATTTCCGCGCAACAAATTTTGGACATTCTAATCATACACACACACGCACACACGCATACACGTACATGGCAAACACATTTATGCAGACGGCAACAGAGCATAAATAATTCCAATATACAGTATACAAAAGAAGCAGTGAAATCTGATTTTCTTCGTGTCTGTTGATTATACCAGTGTGATATAATGATCCTTTACATTCCCTGGGGATTACAGGGCTACGAGCTTCTTGGGCTTTGAATTTTCGGTAGTAGTGGTGTTTTTTATTTATTACTGAATGAAGTTGCTGGCCTCATGCCCAACCTCCGCCCACTCTTTACCAGTCTTATTACTAGCTGAGCGAGATAAATTAGTACGTCGGCGGCCAGGGATCGAACACTGAACCACATGAAGCGTGGTTGGTGAGCATTCTACCGTTTTGCCACCGGCGCAATGATCTTAGTATGGATCAGAGGATTATACAGAATTATTGCATTAGCAAGATGCACCTTCATCAATGTAAAATCAGTTTGGAAATCTTCTCCACTCAGCATAAACAACAAAACTTTGACTTCCAACACTTTTGTCAAGTCAGTTGTTCTATATGGGACAGAAAAATGGCCAACGTATCATGGAAAGCATTTCCAACAAGCCCATCAACTGACTGGACCGAAGTGCTCGGTTTCAGGTTGACATGTCGGCTTCTTGCACAGATGCTTCAATGATGTCTGGGCATGTAATTAGAAGTTAATTGATGGATGATGACTAGCAGTAGAATCCAGGATGCGCATTTCGTCCTATTTGGGACACATCATCTAATGCAGGTACATCCAGATGACAAGTCCTAAATATAACCAATTAACAGCTGGCAACTTCTCTGGCTCCATAATGAAGATAAGATTGCCTGCTGGTCAAACAGAATTAAAGACAAGGAACTTTGGGAGCGGATCAACCAAGAACCGATTACTCCGAAGAAGAATATCGAGACGGATAGGGCATATTCTGAAGAGACAGTTGGATGACTTTGCGCGCCTGGCCGTCGGCTGGGACCTAAATGGGAAACGACGAACCAGTCGACCAAGGGTGACATGGAGGAAGAGATGAGAGGTTATGGGTAATAGTGGAGCCAGCTATAAACCACAACAGAAAATGGAATAAAGTGCAGATGTGTTGCTGAAGCCGTATGTTCCACTCGGAATCCAAAGGAACAATAATAGTAATAATAATAATAATAATACAGATCCCCATGTTGACGCATATTTTGTTCAAAGAAACATCATGATTTACCGTCTAGAGTAGATATATTTATTAAGCAGGCGAAATAGAATTTTGCATTTCCGGCTTCACTTATGTTATAACGGAATGTTAATGACTGGTTAGTTGTTGGTCTATTTTGACTAGTGTGCGCCTCCAGACACAACACTCTAATCAATTGTTCACTTGAGAGTTATTCCCTCACAGACAAAGTCGCAAAAAATTCAGGTTTCAACTTCATACATCGTGACAGCAACAACGACCTTTATTATTCAAAATATAGAGTATATCTCATTGACACATCAACGTCAATTTTAAATCATATAAATAGAGAATTAATATCTGATTGATTGCATGACCTTGAAGATCCTCTAAAATAAACCAATCAAAAATCGTCTAATCACGTCGTTATGTCAGCGCATGTATCAGTCATAAATTCATGGCTAACAAAGATATTTAGTCCATCTTAACATCCACCTTTCGGAGGATATTTGTAGATCTGGGTGCTTTCTGTCTGTGATACCTCCCCCTCCAAAATAGTATGGGATCCCTGCTTGGTGTACGGTTGACTAAACTAGCAAAAATAAGCTAGTCATTATGATTTTCCCTGGTCAGAATTAAACATATTTAGTGGATATTGGATACTGATGCATGTTCCCCAAAAATTTTACGGAGAATTCGACTTGTTTCAGCAGAAACCATTTCAAAAATAACTATTTCCCGAAAAGATATTTTATCTGTCCGGTCATTGCCCAACATATCTAAATAATGACGATTGGTAAGATAACATAAATCTTCAAAATTCTTTTATATGAATTGAACATCATAAGAGATTTCACCAACTGAGTTCAAAATATCTCCAGAAGCATTTTTAACAGCATGACACATCGTGAGAGCTGCAGAGAACTGTTCCTTCTCCTCTGAGATTTGAGAAACCTTTGTGAAAATCTCTGCACTCAAATCGGTGTGATTTTCATCGCTTAATATATCTAAATAATGACGACTGGTAAGATGACATAAATCTCCGAAGTTCTTTGATATGAACTAAACATCACAAGCGACTTCACTAGCTGGGTTCTAAATATTTCAGAAGCATTTTTAACAACATGGCACGCAGTGAGAACTGGAGAGAACTGTTCCTTCTCCACCGGGTTGGAGAAACTGCAGGGAAAATCCCTGCACCTTAATTGATCTAATTTTTACTATCAGTTTCCATAGATTCATCGAAACTCGGCTGTGCAATTAATGCATCAACTGATAAGTTACTGTGTACTTCTGTGGCTGATTGAATGATAAAATCGATAATCTCCGTATGGGAATGACTAGATGCTTACTGTGAAAATAATTTACTGGTGAGCCCTTTGATCAGTTTCACTTAGGAGTCTTCATATTGCTTCTATCGCTGTTGCGATAGTAACTGGACCTGTTCAAAACTGAAGCACATAATTATAACATCCAGTTGAAAATCAATGTGACTAGATACAAACGGGATTCCTGTAGAATTTGGGTTCGTTCGTCGCCAAGATATTTAATGGCTGGTGTTTGGAACAGAAGTTACAGCGAATATTATTTTTACAAGTTTGATCATGGAATTATATTAGTTAGAGTGTAACAAAAGAAGACAAGGGCCAGGAAACAGATCGTTTATTAAGGAAATCAACACGTATTTATATATTTTCATGTACATTATTATAGCTTATTCAGGCAAACAAACACACTCTTCTGATTGGTTGTTTCTCACAGAAAGTTTACCTTGCACCTCTTTCTGCCTGTTTCTTGAATGTCAGATCATCTATATGATAACTGTATTTGCCCATGCAAAGTCTGCTGTGATTGGTTGTTGAACCAGTCATGTTCATATTTTCTGACGACCAATATTTGAGACATACACAGTGACGTAAATTAATGTCTACCAATTGGCTAGCAGTCTGCTCTCATCACACTCATCCCCCCGTCAAATAGTTTGGACTGAAGTCGGCTTGATCATCTTGGTGCAGGCGTCATCGTTGGCTTGTCTCGCTGTATCCATTTCTGGAGCCCGCTGACGTTCACCCGCTTCTCTGTGTTTGCATTTATGATTGTATATACGTAACCCCGTCTCGCGGTGACCGTGTATGGTCCTTCCCACTTTGGTAGCAGTTTTCCCGACCCTGGCACGTATCTGCTGATGTTTCGCCTATCTCTACATTTGACTTAATCTCCGATCTCGAATGTGGGGTCCTTCCAGTTTACCTTCAGTTCAGCTTTCACACAGTCCACTTTCTGCTTTCTTTTTACGTTGTTGATGGCTTCTTTCCGCTCCGTCCACCATCTCGTCATACTCCACTGCTGATGGAGGGGCCAGGTCTTGTTATGTATCGATAGTCGTGGTCTCCTCCCATACATCAACATTCCGCAGGTATTCAAGCTTAACTGGAAGAAGTTTTAAGAGGTATACCATGTTTTCTTCCTGTGTTCCTAGACTTGAAGTAATAGGGGCGGTGGAGAAGGGGGCCATATATATTCGAAGTTATGAGTAAATGACCGCGAATTGGTGTGTTAATTGACACAGGGGCAGCAGTCTCACTTGTAGATAGGAGCCTATGTGAGAGTATAATATCGTGTTTGTTGACAGTACAGATAGTGGGGGGTCATGTGTTAAGAATCGAGGGAGTGTTGGACTGCAGAGTTAGAATTGTAAAGGATAGTGTGACGTTCCGATTCCTGGTGATCAATATGAAGAAAATGGTCGTTGAATCAGTCTAGTTCATATTTTCGCACAACCAATATTTGCGACATAAACATTGACGTAAATTAATGTCTACCAATTGGCTAGCAGCCTGCTCTCACTGCAAGAGAACCGTTGAAAACCAACATGGATTACTGGACAGCTGTTTCATCCTAGTTTGGGAATCATCGGCAGTAGGCACCCCCTGGGTTTCGAACCCACTGATGTCATTGGTTGGTGGTCGCGTTATATCACGAATTGGTAGAAGTTAGAATTCATGAGGTGGTCATTGGATCGGGTTCCAGTGGCTGAGTGGTGTACGATCTCGCTGGCTTTGTAACCGGAAGGTCCTGGTTTCGAACCCTGGTGATTTGGGTGTGTACTGTTGATGATTCACAAACTACGATGAAACAGTTGTCCAGTACTCCGTGTTGGTTTCCAATGGTTCTCTAACTGATATCAATCCGCGGTCAAAGTCGTAAAAACAAAACTAATCCTTACAAACCAACTCTTCAGAATATTGTTTTATTTTCAGAATAAGGATAGGATTTATTTATTATGTTACAGATTATCGATCAGATAAACTGTAAAAAAATGTCATTCGTGTTACATTTATTACTTTTCTATTTTGGCTAGAGGACATATATATATATATATATATATATATATATATATATGCCGGTATATTTGGATTATTGCTTTTTAAAGAGTAATAAGACTATACCAGTTAGGCTATTGACCACTGAACTTTACTTATCAAGCGTTGGTTTGCGGGGATTTGATTGGCTACAGGTATTTGATCACGAGTTGAAATCAGATAAAGAACCACTGGAAAGCCGACAGAGAGTACTGGACAGCTATTTTGTCCTAGTGATTGAGTCTGTTCATCAGCACGCAGCCCTGAAGTTCGAATTGCAGAAGTTAGAATTTATAAGTCCGCCACTGGGTCGATTCCCAATGGCTGAATTGTATACGAGCTCGCCTTGTAACCAGAAATGTTCTGGGTTTGACCTGCGTCAGTGTATGAGTACTGCTGAAGAGTTTCAAGCACTAGGACAAAACACCTGTCCAGTACTCCCTAACTTAATGTGGAGAAACACTATATATATTGACTGTCAAAGGCCCGGTTTTATTCTCCTATTCTAAGAGATGGTCTCTTCTTTTATTGATATGAATAGTACTCCGTGTTTATTGCCTTCTTTCTAAATTTGTAAAAAAAAAATAGGCGCAAAAATTTGATCCAGCTACGAATGAACCAGTTGGTCCAATTGGTTTAATTCCTAGTCGTTTACGATTGGAACGTAAAGAGCGTACACGCACGCTTCATGTGAATTTTATGGCTAGAAATAGTCGATCTGTTGACTCACCATCTGTTAAATCCAATGATGCTTATGAAAGACGAAAAATCAAATCAATAAAACCATCAACATCCAGTTATTCATTGATAGAAGGTGTTAGCCATTTAAAGAATGCTAAAATCTTCAAAGAAAGAACAGAAGATCATGATGCTTCTCATAGTTCAAAGGGTAAAAGTAAGTGGTAAATTTCTTTTTTTGTGTTTACAAGGGAAAATATATTTTATTGCCTGTAGAGAATATTTTTATTCACCGCAAGTGCTACTGTGATGAGCGACGGTCACCAACAGCCAACAGATATTTCTAAACACAGGTTCTGCATTTGTGGGCCTCATAAACAACCTGGTACGCCCGAGGGTAGGTATACTTCAGTCTTTTTTCGAAGTGCTCTCATGTAAACTAGAGTTCATTGCCTCTGCTACGAAACTCCCGTCCACTGTCATCATGCGAGTGGAGGGTGTTCCTCATAAAAGTGAAATGGCGAGTGAGAATGTCTAGCATTTACAACCAGACCGGTGGACATCCGAGCCTTGATGCAAAGCCTGTGATGTACATGGGCTCCAGACTGTCCTAGATACTTGAAAGTTCCATGCATGTTAGTACTTCTCAGCAGGGCGTTTCTGTAGCCTTGAAAAAACTGATTTTTCCTTTGATATTCGAACCCGCGTCACCCAATGCCGCCTTCAGAGACGTGTTCCTATTGAGAACTAGTTGTGCTCATTGTTAAAATGGCTAAATCAACCACTGGATATATATGGTTTCCTTGAATTATTAAACACCAATTCTGCTTCGTACATTCATCCCCCTTTATGAGTTTGAATAAAGCAAGAACAACATTTTGTGCAGAATAAGATTGCATCGTCAATTATTTTGTCGCCTTCTAATCAGCTGTTGAGTTTATATACAGAACAATTTTAACATACCTGCAAATGTTTCATGATATGAGTTAGTAGCAAGAGACTCAAAACTTAATGAACAGTGCTCAGATAATTACACTTACACAGCTTATGTGGAGAGAGTTCAAGTTTAAACAAAAATAAACGTTTGGATACAATATCAAAAGAGTTACACAATAAATACAAAAAGGTGGATAACATAATGAGTAACTAACAAATTGAGTAACAATCAAGTGATCTTATGAAAGAGATAATCAAGACACCCAATTACCAGAACAAGGAAAGACGGATAACTGCTTCCTTTTCTGAACAAATAAATCGGATTTCAGGCGTTCGATAGCGACTTCTTCGGTCGGCAAACTTGAGTAGAATTTAGCCATTTCGTCTATTAGATGGTCGGCTGCAATTGGCAGGAAACTCTCCCCTAGGTTTCGTGCTTGTTGGTACTTACCAGTCAGAAAGCCGTATGTGCAATTTCCTTGAAGGAACTCACGTCTCTTCTGAGATTCAAACCTGAGTCGCCCAGTGCTACAGTTAGAGACCTTACTACTGAGCTATCCCAGCTTTTGATTGACTGATAGAATTCAGTCTGCTGTAAACAAAAGGACTAGACACACGACACTACTCAGTGTGGAATCAAAAGTATGCAATAAAGTTCTTCAGGAGGTCAATTGCGAGCCAGGATAGCTCAGTGGTAACACCTCTGACTGTAACACTGGGTGAAGCTGGTTCGAATCTCAGAAGAGACATGAGTTCCTTCAAGAAGGTTGCGGATAAGCCTTTCTGACTGGTGAGCGCTAACAAGAGAGGCTTGTGTTCTATTGTCTCCAAAAATATAAAACAACGATTCACAGTGCACTATGATTGTGAGCTACCTAGTATGGTGGCTTGACACTACTCAGTGTCTAATCAAAAGTATTTCGTCTATTGATAATTTCAAAGGATTTTGTGATATCAGCCTCATGACCGACCGGTATTAATGAGATGTGTAGCAATGGCTTATGGACTCCTGGCATAAAGAAAAATTGTTTCTACAATCACATATGTATAAAACGTGGTTTCGTGTAATGTTTTCCGTTCCCTTCTCTGACCACCATCCACCACAGAATGTTTCATGCACGAAACATTTCGACTTTTGTTATATTTCTCATAATAAAATATTGTTTCGGGATGACTATGGTATGTATTTCAATGATTCATATATTTTTTCAAATATAATTTTTCTAACATTTTTATTTCTCATCCTACTTAATTATTCAATAATTCTTCTTGTTGTTGTTGCAAAAAACCATAAAACTTGAGCACTGTGGTTGTTCTTGTTGTTGTTCCTATGAATTATTCACTATTGGGATAAAATCCTTTTTTTCTGAAATAAAGTGATAGACTGCATTGTTGCATGTTGCTAACAGTGTCAGCCAACTGTTTCCTGCTAACATTTTTCATCATAGTGGATAGGAGGCGGCTGTATTATTATTATTATTGCTCCCTTGGGTTCCTAATGGAACATAGAGCTTCAACTGCACGTCTCCACCTGCTTCTGTCTTCCTTCTGCTGTACTTTTCACCTACATCCATGTTAGTTAGTCCATACTCTTTCAACTACTCTTCACACCATCTCCTCCATGTCACCCACCCTTGCACTGACGACCAACTCACCGTTTTCCTTTCGACCTGGTTCCACTCGAGAAATCGCCTGACGCGCGCGCGATATCACCCAGCGGCCTCCTCAGCGAGCGAGTGTCCAATCCATCCATCTCCACTTTCTCCTGCATATTTGTTGGTTGGCGATTGGTTCTTGTTTTGTTTGTTTCTTCCCATAGTTTCTTGTTGGTGATTCTTTCCGGCCCGGCCATCTGATCTTCAATATAGAGCCAGCGAAGACAGAACAGTTGCTGATAAAGGTCTGCATGCAACAGGCTGTTGGAAATATTCTTTGTGACCCGCCCACCAAGTTTCTGATCCGATCCGTATAGAAGAGCTGACTGACTTGACGTTTGTATTGAAAATCCGACGGAATTTTGTAGTTGATACTGGCTGAGTGACGAAGATTTCTAGATTGGTTGTTTCAGGTTGATGAATGTTTTTCTTGCCTGCCTTCCTGATTTTCGATTTGACATCCTCGTCCGTTCCGACTTCCTATAATTGAGACAATGCTCCCTAGATAAGTGAATGAAGTAACTAACCTCTTTCAAATTCCTCCCATTGATGGTGACTGGCGCTGGATGTCGTTGCTTTTGTTGTTGTTGTTGGTGGTTATTTTCATAACCTCCGTGTTGTCTATGTTCACTTGGAGTCCTGTCTTCTCAGGCTGCTTCTTCGACCAGTTTGTCAGTTGAAGAAGCAGCAGGTGGGAGGCTGTATTACATATATATTACTTTATCCCATGATATCTGGTCTAAATATTTTTATTAGTATCATTATTATGTAGCGTAGTTCTGTCTTTGGTGGTGTCGTTTTTTCCCAGTTATTTTGAATGTTTGTGTGGGAGTAACGACTGATGGATTTCTTTTATTAAATTTTAATTTTATTCCTTTATGTTCCCAGTGGAACATAGAGCCTGAAGCCTCTTGGGCTTTGATTTTTCGGTAGCAGTGGTGTTTATTTTTCTAATGGATGAGGTTGCTAGCCCCATGTTCAACCTTCCTTCCCTCTTTACCGGCCTTATTACTGACTTAGCGAGGTAAAGGAGTGCGTCGGTGACCGGGTGTTGAACCCGAAATACATGTGCGGTCGGAGAGCATTCTACCAAGCTGAACTACCAACACACTACTGATAGATAATTTCTGTTAACATTCATGGATTATCATATTGCAGCAAGAATTGACAACAGTTGCAGAACCACTGAAGAAATTGGAGGAGACCTGGATAGTTGTCCTACCCTAGTTTGCGACTCTTTAGCAGTATTCACCTATGGCCCAACCGGAGTTGAGTGCAGGACCTTCAGGTTGGCTAATCAGCCAATGAGAAGGAATCCAGTGGCCAAGATATCAGTAATGAGAACTAGCAGGAGTTATAATTCATGACCCATTAATTTCCATCCCGGTAATATATGTTTCAAAGAGCTCATCTCGTTTCCTGAGAATGCCCTAGGTGTGATTGTTAGAGGGATTTCGGCAGCGTACTTGATGAAGAGCTTCAAACTACAACGATGCAGATGTCCAGTGATTCTTGGCCTTCACTTATTAAACAAACTTGAAATCAATCACATAGCTGCGTACCAGCATATGGAAATTCATAAATCTGTTGGTTAGTGGCTATCGTAGTAATTGTAGTGACCGAAAGTCAGTCGTTGTAGTTTAAACACAGGGTATTGGTCTATACGTCCTACTGTATGGCTAGCCTGAATTTCTTTCAAACAGGTACAGTCACAAAGCGCTGAAGAGACAGCAAAAAGACAACTGTTCCTCGATAAATCCATGATTCTTTTCAACACTTCTGACATCAAAAACTCAAAATTTTCTCAACAGTGCAACTAGGCAGCTTTGAAGTTCCACTTCTTTTCAAGTTAAAGAATAAGTAATGTAGAACAAAATAAGTTGACCAAAATTCAACCGTGGGAAGTACCAGAGAATCAAGTAGAATATATCCACGAACAGTTCAAAGTTAGAATGACCTCTATTCACTCAAATAAAATCGCATCACAAAATACCACATTATCAATATCATCAGACAACCATGAGAAGAAGCGCCAAAACTAGCGATCAAAACGCCAACAAATACAAATAATAAGGATCAAGTCAGTAGATGTTATGCAAATGTCAAAATAATTGTATAGTCTGGGAGAAAAAGGGTATAATAATAATACACAGTTATCTGAAACATTCAAATGACCCTGAAAGCATGGTTAATGTCAATCTTGTATTATGTATACACAAGATGAGATAGAATAGCGCTACGAATAAATTTTGTTTGCCCTTTGTGTACGCACTAGGCAGGATGATGTTTGGAAATTCGACGAAAAACACGCCTATATACCATATTTTCTAATATACTTATAAACATACAAGTGGATGGAAATACCTTTCAAAGTTGATTTTAATTACATTTTATATGAACATGATGATACTTTAACAATCAACTTTGTGTATGCAGCTATTAATTAACACGTAACTATAAGGCAGTAGAATTTAAAAATAAATAAAGGGAGAATAATTAATAATAATAATAATTATTTATCATAATTATTCACTTAGAAACTGATTAGAACCATATGACTTCAACAGAACATCTACATTCCATCCTGTTCTCTGCTAGTTTCACGACTATTCAAGAATTTGTATATCCTATCCACACCATCTCCCTCATGTCATCCTCGGACTTATCGCCAACTCATCATTTCCTATTCAGGTTTCAATCTAACGATTGCCTTAATGAACCCACCTTATAACCAGAAGATTCTGAGCTCGTTCCCCGGTGTGATCATCGGTGTGTACTGATGAAGAGTTCTAAAACAGGCTGACAAAACACCTTTCCAGTGCTCCCTGTTGGTTTATCAGTAGTTCTCTAAGTGATATCAGCTCATGATGAAACCCTGTAAACAATCAATCAAATCCCTAGAAACCAATACTTGAGTACTAATATTATTTCTAAATGTAATTTATCTAACATTGATTTGATTCAAATGTCTAATCATCAATTTTTACTTATCTACATAAATGAAGCAAGAAAGCTGTGTACGTAGTGCCTTGATATGATTATGAGCAGCGATAAATCGCGCTGGAAACGTTGTCGTCAGTAAATGTTACTGTATAACAACTCTGTGTGGTTTTGTCAAAATAAAATTTTACCCATAATGGAATTATGCTCTACCACAGTGCCCAAGTTTTATCTTTTTACCATAAGAAGTATTTTCACAATTAAATATATTTGATTTTAATCTGCACTTGTAGATGATTATTTATGTTGTATTCAAGAAAAACACTTTTATAAAGCATGATTCTGTTCCCCTACTTTTATGTATACTCCAGTTAATATTAAAGTTTATTGACCAGCGCTTTCCTGTCTACGGAGTACTAAATCAGCATTACCTTCTTTTTTCTAATCATCATCTTCACTAGGTTGTCGTGATTCTTCAAGGCGTCGTTATCATCGTCGTCGTAGCAGTGATCAACGACATCGACCTCTATCCTATATAGCAGTTACACCAGTTCACCTCAGTTTTGCTCGACCTGTTGTTATCTTGGGCTATATGAAAGATAGAATTGCTGATGAGTTATTGTGTGAATTTCCTGATCTTTTTGGGACAGCTGTTCCATGTAAGTGAAAAATTATCTTTTTTTTTCTTTTGTATTCATTGCTGCTTTGATTTAGAGTCTTTTTTTTGGTTACTCACTACCTTTTTTGTTGTTTTAAATGAACAAGAATGTTGTATGGAACACATAAATAAAACTATTCTTTGCAATTAATAGTGTTCTCTGAGTTGGTTGGTTTAGTTGCGGAGCTTTCGTCGTGCTTCTTGACAACATCTTCAGCGCAATTCTTAGCATAAAGTGAAATGATTTAAATTTTTCTTCATGATTGATATAATTGCGTCTCCTGGTGACCAACCATCTTCACATGTGTGTTGATCATTTTCTATTAACTTGGATTTTGAACTTTTTGATCACATGATTTACTTTTTATTAGTTGGTGTATTTAGTCTATATGTTAACGTGTTTGTTAATTGTATATTCGTTTGAGTACCAGGCTTCTAGGAATTCTCTGACTGCATTTTTGGTGTTTCCTCTGTCTAAGATTTCGACATTATCCCAGTTATCAAACTGATGTCCATAATTGTTTATATGCATTGATATGAAACAGGAATATATGATCGTGTCTTTTCATGGCTGATTTGTGTTCCTGGAAGGACGACTAGAGCTTCTCAAGTAAACCAACCAGCTCGGTGGCACAGTGGTTAGGACTCTCGCCGACCATGCACATGGTCCGGGGTTCGAGCCCGCACCGACGCACACCTGATATCTGTGGTCGGCCTGCAAAATTTGGGCTACCGATATCCATGCTAAAAATGCCATACTTGTACCGAAAATACAGTGTGGAATCAAGCTGTAAATAAAAAAAAGAACACTACAAATTACAAATCATCCACCTGAGCTACAAATCTTTTCTATTATTTCAAAAACTATTCTTTACCTTTCTACAGAAATCAATACTTACAGATGAAATATTAGTAAGTGTTAAAATAGTATTATGCTATCATCACCTAGAACATCAAAAAGGCATGATTTCAAGTGAACATAGAAAAGATGAAGGTGATGAAGATAACCAATCACTGTCAACGAGATAAATCTGAAAGAGATCACAGATGAGGAAAGGCATGTTATCACACTGAAATTACTCTTGAAATATTCTACACTAACCATAAGCAACAAAATTCGACTTTTAGCAACACCGATGTTATGTCAGTCAGTTCTTTTATGTGAGTCAAAAACTTGGTGAACATAGTCGCAAAAACTACTTTCGACAGTCTACAGCATAATTTTATCAACAGGTGGGGCTCCATACTGAAAGTCAGATGACACATGGTAGGCCAGAAAGAATCAACAGCAAGAAACTCAGAGAACGAACCAATGAAAGAATCTATTGTTTAACAAATATTTCGAACAAAATGGAGATGAATAGAACGCACGCTGAGGAGACCGTTGAATGACATCATGCTCAGTGCAGATCATCGCTCGAGTGGGAGGTAAGTGAGAAACGTCTAGTTCAACCTTGGTCAAAACGTCGCATGGCGGAGATCGTGTGTGGGGAAGAAATGACCGCTTATTGGTAATCGTGAGGCCACCTAAAGAGGACTGCAGGGAACAGTGTGAAATCGACATGTTCTGTTGAAGCCATTTGTTCCACTCGAAATCCAAAGGAATAACAATAACAACAAAAACAGAACATGTTTGGATATAACTAGTCAATTTAAAACCAGTATTCAAGTGTTGGTTTGTAGGGATTTGATTGGTTTCAGGATTTCATCATGAGCTGACATTAGTTAGAGAACCATTGGAAAACCTGGGAGTACTGGACAACTGTTTCGTCCTAGTTTGGGACTCTTCATCAGTACGCACCCACCGGGATTCGAACCCAGGACCTTCCGGTTACAAGGCGAGCTCGTATACCATTAAGCCACTGAGACCCGATCCAATGGTCCCAACTAACTAATGTCAGCTCATGATGAAATCCTTAAAACCAGTATGTTATACAATCAAACCTTCATTGACCTACTTAAGGTCACTGATGTCACATGGATCGAACGTAGTTACCTTGCTGATTGACGGTTTAAATCATTGTCATATATCCAGTCACCGCACAGCGATTTACCCTTTTGTATTCAGATTAAGGTATGTTGTCGACTTCTCACTGAAAATACACTACTATACCTAGAAGACCTGGATTTCGCGGATGATTTATGCTTCATGTCACACAAAATCGAAGACTTACAAGCGAAAACCGACAAACTCGTCGAAGAAGCAACCAGCGAAGAAAATACTCCAGGTGAACATAGACAACACGGAGGTTACGAAAATAACCACCACCACCACCAACAACAACAACAACAGCACCAACATCCAGCGCCAATCACCATGAATGGGAGGGATTTGAAAGAGGTTAGTTACTTCATTCACTCATCTAGCTAGGGAGCATTGTCTCAATTATAGGAAGTCGGAACGGATGAGGATGTCAAATCGAAAATCAGGAAGGCAGGCAAGAAAAGCATTCATCAACCTGAAACAACCAATCTGGAAATCTTCGTCACTCAGCCACCATCAACAACAAAATTCCGTCGGATTTTCAATACAAACGTCAAGTCAGTCAGCTCTTCTATACGGATCGGATCAGAAACATGGCGGGTGGGTCACAAAGAATATTTCCAACAGCCTGTTGCATGCAGACCATTATCAACAACTGTTCTGTCTTCTCTGGCTCTATACTGAAGATCAAATGGTTGGGCTGGAAAGAATCACCAACAACAAGAAACTATGGGAAGAAACAAACAAAACAAGAACCAATCGCCAACCAACAAACATGCAGGAGAAAGTGGAGATGGATGGATTGGACACTCGCTCGCTGAGGAGACCGCTGAGTGACATTTTGCGCGCGTCAGGCCATTTCCCGAGTGGAACTAGGCCGATAAGGAAGTGGCGAGTGGGTCGTCAGTGCAAGGGTGGGTGACATGGAGGAGATGGTGTGAAAAGAGAGGAGTTGAAAGAGTATGGACTAACTAACATGGATGTAGGTGAAAAGTACAGCAGAAGGAAGACAGAAGCAGGTGGAGACATGCAGTTGAAGCCCTATGTTGCATTAGGAACCCAAGGGAGCAATAATAATAATATAGTGATTTCAGTATGATGACACCACATTCTTTGCAACTGATTGAATTTACGATTTAAACAGCGGCCCTGTTCAGTCTCTGAGCCACCTGAATTTTCTTCCCATCAAAATACATCACTGTACTTACTCCGTTTCACATTTTGTTTTCATTATCTAATTACCACAATGTGACGCAGTCTATACACATGCACAATTTCCAATAAGTTTCTACTTATCGCTCAAGGATTTTCGAAGGAATTTAAGGAACATGTATTGTGGAAGAGCATTGATTGGAACATGCTTCGGATGGAATGATGCTGCTTCAGACGATATATTAGCGATTATTATATTATTTGAATATTCTGAAACTCGCTGAAAATTCTGTACTATGTCTAAACACGCTTTTCAGAATAAAGCTATTAATAATTATTAGGTGAATTTGATCTTATCAACTTTCCATATAGATCAAGGAATAGACCAGTCCAGAATTCATAATTAATTTGCATTTATTATCTGCAATGTACAATTTTGTCTGAATTGCTGTTAAACTAATTAATGTGTATATTAAGTAGTAATTCCCAGGAAATGATATGCAATAATGGTTATAATAATAATGACTTTCAAGTATTGATCTTGTAGGGATTTGACTGATTGGTTACAAGATTTCATCATGAACTGACATCGGTTAGAGAACCAATGGACAACAAGCTGGGAGTACTGAGCAGCTGTTACCCAGGGTTCTGGTGAGAAGTCGTGACCAGTAGGGTACAACAGGTTGGGCGTGAGAACAAATACTTGCCGAAGACATTGGCTAGTGGTCACGCTATGTTGTGAATTGGCAGAAGTTAGAATTCGTGAACTTGTCATTGGATTGGGTCACAGTGGCTTAATGGCTTACGATCTATCTGGCTTTGTAACTAGAAGGTCCTGGGTTCGAACCCCGGTGAGTGCGAACTGATGAAGCGTACCAAACTAGGCTGACAGAATAGCTGTCCAGTACTCCCTGAAGGTTTTCCAATGGTTCTCCAACTGATGTCAGCTCATGATGAACTCCTCCAACTAATTATTAACTTGCTACTAATTCCTTCGAATAAATTTATCTTGAATTTCGTAATTACTTTCACCTCTGCTCTAAAACTTAGAAATGTCATTGCTAACGCCTACCTATTTATTTCTTTTGGTGATTTCTAATCTCTTACTTCCACCAACCTACCCCCTTTTACCTAAAATTGATAGTTCTTATGGACTAAAATCAACCAAATGATTGGTATAATTTTGATGTAAAAAACTGTATACCAGTGTAAATTCGTTGTTAAGGGAATAATTGAAGAAAGGGATGTATTTCTCCGCTCAGTTTTACTGACAGAATTCAGTCTGCATCAAAAAAGGACTAAACACACTGCACTAGTTACTAACTAGTTTGATATCAAAATATCAATTACTGCCCTACAGGGAGTCAATCACGAGTGCGAATACGTCAGCGCTAACGTCACTGATGGCAGTACTGGGCGATGCAGGTTTGAATCTTAGAAAGGAAATGAGTTTCTTCAAGGAGGCCGCAAATACGTTTTTTGACGGGTGAGCCCCAACTAGCACGAAACCTAGGTCCAAGGCTTCCTGTGTCCGATTACCTCCAACCATCTAATACCAACAGTTCGGTGTGCACCCTGATGTTGAGCAACTTAGCATGGTGGCCACATTGCAAACTTGACTGATGATAGAATTCAGTTTGCACTAAACAGAGGACTTGACAAATTACACTAATCGTCATTATTATTGTTCCCCTGGGTTCCGAAACAAACATAATGCTTCAGTAACATATCTCCACTATGCTCTATTCTCTGTCGTCCTCTTCAAATGGGTCCATGATTGCCCATAATGTCTCATCTCTTCTTCGCCACACTACCTCCTCCATTTCACCCTCGGAGTGTCGACCCGATCGTCGCTTCCCATTTTGTTTCCCCTTGAGGGCCTGACGTGTGATGTCATTCGACTGTCTCCTCAACGTGTGCCTGATTCATTTCCATTTTCTTCTACATATTCGTTGAGTGATTGGATGGTGGTTGGTTTGTTACCCAGCCAGAGGTTTTTGCTGCTAATTCTTTCTAGCCGGCCAGCTGGCCATTTGATCTTCAGTATGAAGCTAGTGAAGGCAGCTATTGGTAAAAGCCTGTAATAGGCTGTTGGAAATTCTTTTTGTGACGCGCAGTGAAAGTTTCTGACCCTTTTATTTTTGACAACCCCCCCCGCCACCATCCATACCTAAAAATGGTAATTCTTATGGATTAAAATGAATACATGTTTGGTAGAGTTTTGATGCAAGAAACTATATATCAGTGTAGAGCCGATGATGAGGAACTAATTGAAAAGAAGCAATATATTTCTTCTCTCAGTTCGTAGTTGTTTGTTTTCCTACGTGTGTAAAATGCGAATCTTCAAATTTACAATTTTAATTTTAATTATTTATATGCTTTGTTTTGCCTTAACAATCTCTCATGGCGTTTTTTTTTCTTTTTTTCTCATCTGGTTAGATACAACTCGACAACGTCGACCAAATGAAGTTGAAGGTCGTGATTATCATTTCGTTATTAGCAAAGAGATAATGGTCGCCGATATAGCGGCTCAAAAGTATCTAGAAGCTGGTGAATACAATGGTAATCTGTATGGTACTCATTTGGACTCAGTGTTTGAAGTGTCTGAATTAGGCTTACATTGTTTACTGGATGTTGGTGGGCCAGCGCTGAAACGTTTAGAGTCAGCTGGACTACCGCCAATCGCTATTCTTGTACTTCCTGAAACATTATCATCAACAGATAAGAATGATGTTCATGAGGATGTCGGTGATAATGGTGGTAATGATCAAAATAATAATAATAATAATAATAATAATAATAATGAACAGTCACCAAATGCCAATGAACAAGGCAAAAGCAACAAGTCAAAGTTACAGAAACGTACCTCAGTAGAATCTGAAGCCTTAAAAAATTTACAAGTTAAACTTGGACGCCTCTTACAACATTTTACTTCTTTTCTAACTGGTATGTTTCAGTTTTCACAAGGTTATGTGTGTTTTTGACTTGTAAAAAATACGTTTATTTATTACTTTTATTATTATTATTATTCCCTTTAGTTTCCGAGTAGGATAAAGGGCTTTAATAACACATCTCCATCTTGTCCCGTTCTCTGCAGTCGTCTTCAGTGGGGCCCCGATTATCCACAAATTTTCGTCTTCTGCTCAAACGATCTCTTCCATGCCACTCGATTTTGCTGTCATTATCCTGCAGCAGAAGATTGGTTCCCATTGAATAGGGGTTCGGCTACTACTGATAACATCATGATAATCACTCACTGCCTCAGTGTACTCGTGCTTGTCGTCTGGGTGATCAGACCGGAGTAGATTACTGACTCTATGTGCAGTTAATGATTTGGAGAATCCACATCCATTCCACCTGCTCTCACAGAATCCTAGGACTTCTGTGCCTTTCAATCTTTGTACATTGTATGAACATTCCACGTCCCAATTTTAATTTTTGTTCTGATCGAGAAAAGACATATTGACTGAATGGCTTCCTGAAGGCTTTCACCAGCGAGTTGCTTCATTCCGTCTCTCCGATTCCAGTGAAGATTAAGTTTATTAAAACAATTAGTCCCATTGATAAATTTGAATAAGGCCTTTAGAAGACAAATTTCGCTAGATGATTTCATTTTGTAGTTTCTTTACAACCGCTTTACAACTAACATGTGCGTCGGTGGCATAGTGGTTAGGACTCACCGACCATGCACCTGGTCCGAGGTTCCATCCGCTGCCAACGCACACTTGATATCTATGGTCGGCCTGCAAAATTTAGGCTACCGATATCCATGCTGAAAATTCCATACTAGTACCAAAAATACAGTGTGGAATCAAGTTGTAATCAAAAATAAAATAAATAAATAAAGATCATGACAATTACTCAGTTAAATAAAAAACAAAAGTACATACTAATGACCAATCGTATTTATATATGTCATGATAGGTCGATCCCCGTACGTACGATTAAAGGACGAAATTCTGTGGACTCTACTTCAAACTGTATCTACAAGTTCACTTGCAACTGCGGTTACACCTATATAGGTAAAACCAACAGAATGTTTCATTGTCGAAAAGAACATGTTTCAAAATGGTTACTAAAACATATAGAAAATCCCAGTGCTATTAATCTGAATAGAAATCCATCAGCATCATCTATTGCAAAACACTTAATAATGTCAGGTCACAAAATCAATATTAGTGACTTAATATCAGTAAAAAGTTTGAGCATTGTGGATTAGATCAAATAAAGTATAATTATATTTTAATAGTTTACACACAATGATAAGTTTTGTTATTGGTAATATTTCGAGCAAAATTACCAATAACAAAAGTTATCATTGTGTGTAAACTATTAAAATATAATTATACTTTATTTAATATTAGTGACTGTTTCACAACTATTTCACATAACTCTAATTCGAGGTTATTAAAAGTGGTGGAAGCACTCTGGAGGATTAATCACATACATGTTAGACTGTGTGTACAAAAATCAATAGACTTCAACCTTCGCCTACCATGGACTGACTACATGACCTATCTAAATATGATTGGTCATCAGTATGTACTTTTGTTTTTTTATTTAACTGAGTAATTTTCATGAACTTTATTTTATCATTGCTAACCATGTTAGTTGTAAAGCGGTTGTAAAAAAATTACGAAATGACGATATCATCTCGCGAAATTTGTCTTCTTAATGCCTTATTCAAAATTAAGTTTGTCTTTTATATTGTTTGTTTTCTTATATTTGTTTTTTTTATATATTTCTAGAATTTTTCTGATGCATTGAAGTCTCTGTAGCAGTTTGACTGATTTTCCGAGGTAGGGTCTCTAGCCCCAAGCCTAACCTCCTGAGTTTCCTTAGGAATAGTTACGGTTAAAAAATTAGTGAACTAGTAAAATAGGCGAGTTTAATAGATAACATGTAACATCCATAAGGATATTTCACGTACAAAGATCACATTTTCAATCAGCTTAACTTTACATGCATTTCTGGACAGAAAGAAATTGTCATGAAAACAAAACACGTTGTTCAGCCAGGAGGCTATTTTCAGGGAGAATTTATTCTCCTTCCTCTTTAGCTGTATAAGAGGGCAGTAACAGAAGCATGTAATAGTTTTCAAGAAATACAGCAGTTATATAAAGAGTTAGGAAAATTAAGCAAATTAAAATCAAAACAGTATACATAAGTAAGGTTGTTATCATGACAGTAGAAGTTGCTGGATATTTCTCTCCTGCATACATAACTCTGATTTGTCTACCCAAATAGCTAAAGCTTTCAGCAGTGCAAAGGAAACCAAAGCGTACTGACTTTGGCAACTTGTTCTTCACTTGTAGATTACTTTGAAGGAGGAGGCGTTTGTTAAGATGAAATGACCAGTGTTGAAAAAGTGTTCGATTATCGCACTCCTTATACAACCACAACTACCTTTTTGAAGCCGTGCAGCGCAGTGTTGTTCAACCCTTTTAGACAGGACATGCATCAAACGACCAATGTACTTTGCTCCACAGAAATTAGTGAACTAACTGATGTATGCGCTTAGAAGTGGTCAAATGCGAGACCTTGTCCATAAGGCTTCTGCAAACCAATGGCCAACTGGAGGACACAATATGATAGAGAAGATTTGTAGCTCAGGTGGATGATTTTGACGTGGTTGTGTTCTCTGAGCTGGATAGTTAATTTGCGAAGCTTTCATCGCCTGAATAGGCGACATCTTCAGCGCATACTTCAATTTGAATTGAAGTGAGCTTTTAGATTTCTCCACGAGTTTATTAATCATCTCTCCTGGTCAGTGACCTTGGGCGTGATTGGTTGTTTTTGTGTGTTTTCACACCTTCTAGGCTACTTGCACTGGCACTGATTGTTTCCCTGACCTGAACTTGACCATTAGTGTGTAAAGTTTCCTTCTGATCGGTTGGTAAATTTGTTTATCTCGATGTGTCTATTGAGTGACGATTCACTGGAATACGAGTCCAGGCTTTGAAAAATTCTCTAGCATTCTTGTTGTTTACTCTGTCTAAAATTTGAACGTTGTCCCAGTCGAATTGATGCCTATGGTTGTCTGCATGCAGTGTGGCTATATGAGGGAGTGGATGTCATGTCTTTTGATGGCTAGCTTATGTTCGTGGACACAAACACGAAGGGGACGTACACTTTGTCTGTCTGTCTGGATTCAACATAGAACTTGGCACCGAAGTGCAGCACTTCGAGTTTCCACGTTCAAAATAGCACACAAGAGTGGACAAGAAGATTAGTGAAGAGAATCAATAGGGTTTGACTGGTATAAGAGCGAAACAGAATGGGTAATCGTAGAAAGAAATATGAAAAATTACAGAGGCTGAATACATCTGCGCCATTGACGACGATTTTGAGCCGTCACCTATTGTCTCCAGCCATTGATTTCTAGAGTCCCGAGGGCCCCAACACGGTAGTCTGCATCTCCCTACTTGACTCAGTTCAACTGAACGTCTCCACTTGCTTCTGTCTTCCTTCTGCTGTACTTTTCACCTCCATCCATGTTAGTTAGTCCATACTCTTTCAACTCCTCTTCACACCATCTCCTCCATGTCACCCACCCTTGCACTGACGACCCACTCGCCACTTCCTTATCGGCCTAGTTCCACTCGGGAAATGGCCTGACGCGCGCAAAATGTCACTCAGCGGTCTCCTCAGCGAGCGAGTGTCCAATCCATCCATCTCCACTTTCTCCTGCATGTTTGTTGATTGGCGATTGGTTCTTGTTTTGTTTGTTTCTTCCCATAGTTTCTTGTTGTTGGTGATTCTTTCCGGCCCGGCCATCTGATCTTCAGTATAGAGTGAAGATAGTTAGTTGTTGATAATGGTCTGCATGCAACAGGCTGTTGGAAATATTCTTTGTGACCCACCCGCCATGTTTCTGATCCGATCCGTATAGAAGAGCTGACTGACTTGACGTTTGTATTGAAAATCCGACGGAATTTTGTTGTTGATGGTGGCTGAGTGACGAAGATTTCCAGATTGGTTGTTTCAGGTTGATGAATGCTTTTCTTGCCTGCCTTCCTGATTTTCGATTTGACATCCTCATCCGTTCCGACTTCCTATAATTGAGACAATGCTCCCTAGCTAGATGAGTGAATGAAGTAACTAACCTCTTTCAAATCCCTCCCATTCATGGTGATTGGCGCTGGATGTTGGTGCTGTTGTTGTTGTTGTTGGTGGTGGTGGTGGTTATTTTCGTAACCTCCGTGTTGTCTATGTTCACCTGGAGTCCTTTCTTCGCCGACTGCTTCTTCGACCAGTTTGTCAGTTTTTGCTTGCCTCTAAGTCTTCGATTTTTTGTGACATCAAACATTGACTAATATTAGCAACTATGATTATTTTTTTAATTTAATTTTTTAATTTTGATTACAGCCTGATTCCACACCGTATTTTTGGTACAAGTATGGAATTTTCAGCGTGGATACCGGTAGCCCAAATTTCGCAGGCCGACCGTAGATATCAGCTGTGCGTCGGCGTGGGCTCGAACCCCGGACCATGTGCATGGTCGGCGAGAGTCCTAACCACTGTGCCACCGACGATTATGACAATTGATGACCACTGTTACTACCCTCTCTCACGAAGAAAGCATTGTATATACATGTGATTGTACCGCCTGTCGTCTGAACTACGTGTTCTGTTTTTATTAATGCCGGAATGAGAAGTATTCATGAAAAAGGTTTCAATCCACCAGAACACTGGATTTTATACAATGTGTAAATGTTTCTGCTTTGAATTATATATATGCGTCGGTGATTCAGAGGTGGAAAGCTCACCAACCATACATACGGTCCATTGTTCGATCCTCGGCCAACGCACATCTAAGCCTCGCCAAGTTGGTAGGACTGAGGCTAGGAATGAGGGAATGTTAGACGTCAGGCTAGCAACCTCATCGCGTAAAACAAAATGTGAAAAAGCCAAATGTCATTCAGTCACAATGAAAGTTGTTCACTGGATGTCAAAAATAACCTACAGTCGAAATATATCCTTTCATTCATTCATTTTTCATAGGTGGTTATATTAAATAACGATAAAGTGGAGACTATTGGAAGTTAAAAACCTACTGTCATAAAATCATCTTCAAAAGCTAAGAATATATGACAGTCTGATGACAGGATGAATTGTTTTCATTTCGAATCCTCAATTTTTATTTTTTTTCAAACTCCGTTTTATTCTCTGATGTTAATCCATGTCATTAAAAATAGCAGTAATGTCAAGCAGACGAAATCATAATAATTATTTTATAATCTTATGTAAATTATTTAGTTATATAATGTGATTGTAAGCTAATTTTAGTTTACTAAGCTTTCCCCAGAGCTGACATAGCAACTACTTAGCTACTGTGGGGTGCCGCCGACGATTATACATCTCATCCAACAGTTGTACGACAATGCTGCATCCCAAGTAATCTACAATGATAAACTTACGGAATCCTTCGAAGTGAAGACGGCGGTAAGGTAAGGCTGCCTACTATCTCCGGTGATTTTCCTGACTGGAGTAGATTGTATAATGCAACAGAGAGCGGGCAATTTGGAAACGGGCATAAAATGGACCCACACGAAAAACTTGGAGGATCTGGACTTCGTCGATGATATATGTCTGATTCCCCATAAACTGGAAGATGTGCAAGTGAAAAGCAACAAGTTGGTAGTAGAAACATCAAAGATAGGACTTCACGTCAGGTGAACATAGAGAAAACAGAAGTGATGATAATTCCTGGACAGCAACAACAACAACAGACAACAATCAGCCAGCATATATGGGAGGAACCTGAAAGAAACAACCTCCTTCACCTACCTACCCGGAAAGTATCGTTTCAACTACAGGCGTACGGAACTGATGGGGATATCAAAGCAGGGATCGCGAAAGCAAGACAAGCTTTCATTACTCTCAAGTCTGTGTGGAGGTCAACAGCACTCAGCATGAAGATCAACGTCCGGAGTTTTAACTCGAATTTGAAGTCAGTGTTACTCAGTGTACGAATCAGAGACTTGGTGTGTCATAACGATCGCCTCAAACAAACTACAGACCTTCACTAACAGTTGTCTTCAGTCAGTACTACTCAAGCTCAGATGGCCAGAAAAGATCGGCAACAGGGATCTCTGGCAATGAACGAACCAACCAGGAACCGATTGTGCTATAAATAGGCAGGAAGAAATGGAGGTGGATTGGCCACACTCTGAGAAAACAAACCATCAAGTGACATCACACGCCAGGCCATCGCTCTAGTGGAACCTTGAAGGGAAGCGGCGAGTCGGTTGTCAGTGCGATGGTGACATGGAGGAGGTCATGAGAAGAGGAGATGAAAGCATGTGGGTAGACGTGGAGCCAGGTGAAAACTCTAGCAGACAACCGAAGGCAATGGAGATGCGCGGCTGAAGCCCTATTTTCCTCTAGGAATTGAAGGAAATAATAATAACATAAGCTTTCCCCAGTCATCATTCAAACTTTATACTCCTTTTTACGCCTGTTATGCACTCTAGTAGTAAATGTCATGGTTAATTTGGCCTGAAGACTACTATCATTCATTGACTGGGATATATAATATTTTAGTATTTGAGTGGTGAATATAAGAAGTGACTGTGACTGGACTGATTGACTAAGTTTCAGCGTACAGCTTAGCACATAATCGAGAAGATTTGTAGCTTAAGTGGTTGATATTGAATTAGTTGTGTCGTGACCGGCTGTTAATTCACATCTCTATTGATCATTTTTATTGACTTGGATTTCGACCTTTTTTGTCATGTAATTTTTAACTGGTAAATTTGGTCTATAATATTGTGTTTGTTAATCGCTGGCTGATTCACTTGAGTACCAGGCTTGTAGCAATTCCCTGGCAATTTTGGTGTTTCATCTATTTAAAATTTCTACATTCTTCCAATCGTCCATAATTATCCACATGCATTGATACGAAAGAATATGTATCATGTCCTTCTACAGCTAATTTGTGTTCTTCGATTCAGAAACGAAGGGTACAGTTCATACAGTTTATTTTGTAAATAGTATTAATTTTATCCTCTTTTTCTGTTGGATCTTTCGGTTCGTACAATACTGAATGGAGGGATTGTGTTGGCCGGCTGGCTTGTGAGGTATATCTATTGCAAACAGTCTTAATATTCTAGCTGTTATTGTAGAGATGTTTTTTTTCTTATGTATGGTAGGATGAATTTTCTTATGGTCTTTGATGATAGTTCGTTGTCGGTGTTGTGACTTGAGTTTAAACATTTTTTGATGAAATTGTGCGGGAGATATTCATTCTTTTTGAAGACTGTTAGTAAGTATTTTTCCTCCATTTTCTTCAACACTGGAGTGGTACTACAGCGTGTTTGAACTCTTTTTAACAATGCCTCCACACACTTTCTTTTCTGGGTAGTCGGGTTATTACTGTTGTAGTTGAGTATTTGGTCTGTGTGCTTTGATTTTTTATATACTTGTGTTTCCAAGCATACTGTGTTAGTTCTCCTGATTAAGATATCTAATAAAGCAATGTTTTTGTCTGATTCTTCTCTCGTGGTGAATTTAAAATCTTCAAATATCTTCAAGTATTGGTTTTTTAGGGATTTTTTTGATTGGTTACAGGATTTCATCATGAGCTGACATCAGTTAGAGAACCACTGGAAAACCTGCAGGAAGTACTGGACAGCTATTTCGTCAGCCTAGTTTGGGACTCTTCAGTAGTACGCACCCCCACACACACACAGGGATTCTAACCCACAACCTTCTGGTTACAATGCGAGCGAGCTCATAGACCATTCATCAGCCACTGGGACCCGATCCAATGACCAGCCCATGAATTCCAACTTCTGCCAATTCACGACGTAGTGCGACCACTTCGTAATGAGTTACTGCCTCATCTCCAACCTGCTGTACCCTACTGGTCATAGATTCCCACTAGAACCCCAGGTACTACTAAAGAGTCCCAGACTAGGACGAAACAGCTGCCCGGTACTCACAAGTCTTCACATAAAGTACCCAGATTTTTGGTTAAATTATAGGTAGGACTGTTAATTCTAATCTTTGCCTAACGGCTCCAGCTACTAATCCTGGTGTAACACACACAAAGGCTGACAAAAGAGAGAGAAAGGAGAGATTTGAAATTACTGCAATGAGCAGTAATGTGAGGGAAAAAAGAAAGAATAGTAACATGGAAAAACAAGAGGGTTTAATGGATATGAGAGATCAGAAAGAGTGAATGCATCTCCGGCGTTGAACACGATTTTGAAACATACCTCGATTAGTATCCAGGCATTGGTTCTTAAAAGCCTGAGAACCCCAACCAGACGACATACACCTCACCACATGACTGAAACCAATTATCAGTGACTTTATAGACTGACACTATGTTTTTAGTGTGACCACGCATAATTCTTTTCCAACCTAATCCTATGACACCTAACATTGCTTGTTGAAAAAGATGGTGGCTGGGGTTCCTCACAGGACGCATCCTAACCATCTCAGTCTATGTAGCTCGTCGACTGACTTACCCTACTTACATAGTACTCAAAGCCTAACCCTGATATTACTCACCATATTATAACACTTGAAATGGAATACAGAACGCAAAAATCTGTGATTGAAGACATCTCTAGCCTTTTCATATTTTCCACTTTCAGTGACCATGTGTCACAGCCATAAAAGGGGACTCAATGAACTTCTCTTCAGTACACATGACCTTCGATAGATACCTAAATATAACGTCTACTCGACAGATGACATATGTAGGCAAACCCTACACGAGTCTTTGGCGTCTGTATCGAGATATCGTCGGCGGTCAGTCCATTGAGTCTGATGCAACCTCAGAAACCTCTCTAAACTTTTAAAGTCATTTTTTTTCTTTATTCGACATTGAAGAAACCCGTGGAAAATTGTCATTAGAACAGTCTAGAAGAGCAAAAACAAGTTATTCAGCGAAGAGATCTCTTTCAACTAATGTATTGTTAAGCAGTACAATCGTATACATATTTATTTATGATAGTTTTGAAATAATAATGTGAATCAATTGATATTTAACTTTGATTGTAATCACAAATGTGCGTCGGTGGCTTAGTGGTAGAACGCTTGCCAACTACACATATGGTCCCGGGTTCGATTCCCGGCCTATATATATAACTGTCTCTCAACACCACAACAGTTAGATTTATAAGTGCACATTGAAGTAGTCCAACTCGGTAGCTTATACTTCACTTGCGTTGGAATTATCTTTTTCTGACTGATAACCATAAGTTTTTTTTGTATATTCAACTTTGCTCACAATGGTATCTCCTATTTTTATTTTGTGTTCTTGCCTTCACTTAATCTACAGCTATTGTAACAACAGATGATTACAATGTCGCTTACAGTCGTGTAAAAGAACTTATCTTTAATAATGCTGGACCTATTGTTTGGCTGAATTCACCTCAATCAATTCCATGACACAATAAACATTGAAGTAGAAATCTATTTCATACAGAACTACTACTAATAATAATTAATATTGACTATACTTCTTTTTTGTTTGTTTGTTTATGTGTGTGAGTGTGTCTTCAATACACTTTATCCTGATATGATGATAACACATTAAGTGTAGAGCAGTTAGTGAGTCCTTCTTTGTTTTTGCGTTTTTTTTTCCCACTTATTCTTATTCCTACTTTCATGTGATTTTTTCACAAATGAATTAACATGCGAATTGTGAATGGAAATAATGCATAAACTAGCGAAGACAATTCTAATGTCACTGTATGTATCAATCAGTGTGTGTGTGTGTCTGTTGTCTGTCTATCTAGCTATCAATCAAGACAGTCAGTCATTCGATCAATCAGTCAATCAACCAATCAGCGTGCAATAACGAACTCCCACACATATGCATGTATACATACATATAAACAAAGACATCTACTCGACAACTTCATTATTTAATCCGACTATAATTTATTCTGCCTTTCTTAATTTTAATTTAAATTTTCCCAATATTCATTTGTTTCAAACTACTTTCCTTTCTTCCATGTATTTATTTATTTAATTAATTAATTAATATTGAGGAATTATTATATTATTAGCTCGAATAACTAACTACTTAAATGGATGAGATCAGTAGTGTTGAAAAATGATGGTTATTATTATTATTATTAAGTTTTAAAAAACAATAACAAAGATTTTGTTTACAATATCAAATTTACATGTATGGCTTTATTTTTATATAATACCTTGCCCACCCACCCAACCAGCCACCACCACCCCTTTGTATACATTAGTGTTTTTAATTTCGCTTGTCTTTCCATCTCTTCTAGTGTTGTATAATACTTTATTTTATCTCCTCTTGTTTGTGCCAACTTATGTGAATGGATGTTTGAGGATTTTTTATTGGTTTGTTTGTTTGTGTCATCAGTCTTATTGAAACCTCAAAACTGGTAATTTTTCCTACTGTCTGCTTCCTTTATTGCTTGCTCTTTAGTCTACTGTCCCAGTTTTTTTTAATGGACTGTATATAATTGTATCCTAATTACTGGAACTTCTGTCCTTCCTCCCACCCCCTTTATAGTGTGATATGTGTGTGTATAAGTGTAAACGACAGTATACATATATCTACCTTCATTTTTTTCAGATTAATTATGAGCATTACTACAATAATAATAATAATAATAATTATTATCATTATTATTGTTAATAGTAATTTATTGATACCAGGATAACACTAGGTTCTTTCATGAAAGATTTCAATCATTCTTATATATTTCATCATTCACTTCTTTGCCTCTGAACTATTGTTGTTGAACAAGTCAAAACAAAAAAAAATGTTCTTCGTATGTTTGTGTGTACGTGTGTGTGTATGTACACGACTACCTGTGTATATCTGTGGAAGTGTAGAAACCAACTTTTTTTTTCTTGCTCACTTTGATGTCTACCTTCAATTTCTTCATGATATTTTGTTGTTGCTGTTGTTGTTGTTATTGTTCTTTGTGTTTATGGAAAGAGAAAGTTGAAAAAGAAAAAAGAAACCAACGGGAGGGGGCAAGAAAAGTGATTTATGATTTTTTTTATCGATTTTCTGCATTAATTTGGATATTGTGTACTCGTGTATATTATAATTTACTTAATGGATTTTATTGTGCTGCTTTTCACCTTAGAACAAAATCGGTACTTTGTAAATACTTCAGATGAGAATATGAGAAAAAATAATAATAACTAAATTATAATAATCACGATAATAAATTGTATTCAAGATATCATTATGACTTGTTCCTTTGGAGAAGAAAAAAGGAAGAAACAATCGCTGTGCATAAGAAATAAATTCTCCTGTGGTGAGAGCAGGCTGCTAGCCGATTGGTTGGCACTAATCTACGTTAAGGTCTAGGTCACTAATATGGGCCGTGAACAAGGCTGAGTCAACAACCAATCACAGCGAAGTTAACGTGGCAAAATATGATTCGCAGATAGAGAACTCTGTTTGTCAAGGAATCCCGAAACAACCAATCAGAAGCCTGCGTTTGTCTACCTAAACAACCAATCAGATGACTGCGCTTGTCTATAATAATGTTGTCTGAAATATGTATAAATACGTGTTGATTTTCATAATAAAACGATCTGTTGCCTGGCCCTTGTCTTCTGTTGTTACATTTGGTGTCGCTGCCTACCGACAAATGAAAAGCCTATACCCTGCAGTTTTTGATGGAGACATATGGATCTTCGGGCAGGACTTCAAGGCTTCTGCGCAGTTGAGTGGCGTTCAAGATCTGTCAGCGATGGAGCTGCTACTTGAGACGCTGCTGGGAGGTCGGGCGAAAGCAGCATATGAAGGTGTGGGCCGAAGTATGGACGAATGTTCGACAGGGTCAGGCAAACAGTTTCCAAAGTGGGAAGGACCATATATGGTCACTTCGAGATGGGGTTACGCAGACACAGTCGCAATGGCGAACAATGAGAGGCGCGTGAACGTCAGCGAGCTCCAGAAATGGATACAGCGAGACAAGCCAACGATGACGCCTGCACCAAGTAGATCAAGCCGACTTCAGTCGCACGTATTTGACGGGGGGACGAGTGTGGTGAGAGCAGGCTGCTAGCCGATTGGTTGGCACTAATCTACGTTAAGGTCTAGGTCACTAATATGGGCCGTGAACAAGGCTGAGTCAACAACCAATCACAGCGAAGTTAACGTGGCAAAATATGATTCGCAGATAGAGAACTCTGTTTGTCAAGGAATCCCGAAACAACCAATCAGAAGCCTGCGTTTGTCTACCTAAACAACCAATCAGATGACTGCGCTTGTCTATAATAATGTTGTCTGAAATATGTATAAATACGTGTTGATTTTCATAATAAAACGATCTGTTGCCTGGCCCTTGTCTTCTGTTGTTACACTCCTCTGGAAAAAGAGAAGACGTTCAGCGAAGAGTCTCTTTTCGGTTAATTCATTTTCTTAACTATCGGATATTAAGATAGATTACGTCCATTTGTAAGTGTAGTGATTGAATGAACTTCTTCTGTGTGCAGATTTCAGGCCCTCAGCAAGTGAATTGACATTGCTTCTGTAGTTTGAAGAAGTTTGATTCGTACACTGGGAATGGTAATTCACTTGCTGACGGTCTGATTTTTGGATACAGAAGAAGTTTGTTCAATCACTACACTTACAATGGACCTAATTTATCTTAATACCCGACACGTAAGAAAATGAATTCTCCGAAAAGAGACTCTTCACTGAATGTCTTCTCTTTTTCCATGTGGGGATTTTTAAGCTACTTAAATGTTGCAAGGACCCGATGAAGGTGAAGGAGCTGGATGGTTTCCTGTGTTACTCTGGTAGCGAAGACAAAGATTGATTTCTTAAGAGATTGTATCGATCGACATGAATATCCAAAGATGTATCGGAAGTCAATCAGACGCACCCACATCCAACCGAATACCAGCACACTCAGACAACCCAGACGAAAATTCTGCTTTATCGAAGATGCCTATTAAAAATTGAAATATTCTTATTAACAACATTAATGCTGAATCAGTAGTATCGATAAGTGATTGCATTTAAAAAGCAACCGTGAGAGACAGAGAGAGAGATAATATGCTTCAATATAACACTAAAATGACAGAATATCAGATAAATTAAGGGAAATAAGATAGAATTTATAGGTTCAACAGCAGGCCACAGTAGCTGGCTGCACCTGTTTCTGTTGCATATACAGCTCCCGTAGATTTAGTTGAACTGAAATGGCCTACATTGTTTCAAGTGATAGGTATTTACAGGCCTTTCATCATGATATTGGCCCTAGTAACTTCATTTTTGTGCTCATGAGCACCTATCAATGTGGCTAGATAAAAGTGTTGTTAAAACCATCACAATGATCACCACCCCTTTCCAACAACTAAACTACTTATTAAATCAAATTGGCAAGTTGTAAATAATTCAGCAACAGCATAACGTTTAGTTCTCTTGGTAAGGATAGAAAGGCCAGATTTTCAGCATAAAATGCTATTCTCTTTCACAGGTCCTCATCATCATCTACTAACTACCTGAAATTACAATGGTTATAAAAGCGTAGAAATAACATACTTCAGTGTTTGTTCATACTGGTAGGTGATTAACGCTTCCAAAATGTTAACATTACAACTTTTTAGTTTAAGTTACCATCAATCTATATGGTTTGAAAGTAGAAATGGAGGGAGGGGGAAGACAGCAAGACAGTATATGTCCCAATAAATTTATGTTCAAAAAGAAGTAGATATTCTCGAAGTTGAATTATCACACACCTTGTGGATATGAGGCATTTAATCAAGATTTCCAAATCCTTCAAAATAGTAAGCATGCAAGGGACAACAAATTTACTATAACTTGATGAAGATAGCGAGATTATTCATTCAGACATTTAGAAAAATAAATAAATCACAAAAAAATTGAACAAAGAACATTCTTTTCGATAATTTCCTCTTCTGGATCTACAAGTGAATTTTCACAGAATATTCTGGAATAATCTGATTACATAATGCCAAAAATTTCCTTTATATATGATTATTGTTGTTTGGGATAAAGTGGTCACTATTATTATCATTATTAGCATTGTATGCATAAATCGATTTTTGTTTAAAAATGAACTCCGTGCAAGTACATTAAAACTGTTTCTGTAGATATACTTAATAATAACTCTGGGCTGTGAGCAGTTTAGCTGATGAAAAGCCAACCATTTTATTGTGCAGAAACTGTTGTTCTTGCTTTATTCGAATTCATTAAGGGGAATAAATGCATGAAATAAGATATTCGTTAAAGTTTAGCAGGTCTGGTTGGTATATGAATTAGATGTCGCATACATAAATCAGAATTTGAATAAAAAAAAACAATATCTAGTCATCTCTAATTAGCTTAGCAAAACACTGACTGACCTCACCACTTTCCAGTTAATTACTCCACAGCTTTTTCTTCATAACTTCTGGTTTTCAAAACATTGACACATTTCTTATAATATGTTAACTAATAATCATCATAACTGTATTTAGTTTTAAGAAAACTAAATTCTAACCCTAGTGATGTTTTACATGGTTACGGAACAATTTCTCAACAGTTTACCGGTTCTGAGAACTGTCTGTCAATTTTTTTAAGAACCACAAAAGATTAATGTATAAGACTTGAGCAGTGCGATTAGATATATCACATACAGTGAAACAGTATTACTGTCTACTGAGTGAAAGAGATTCGAACACAATTTATTATTCTTCATGATCATATCATCAATTGTAAGTACACATCTTGATCGTCATAGGGTAGTAGAATTTTCCAGATGTCTGACTGGACAGGTGTTAAATCATTTCTGTTACACGTATTTGCAGTTGGTTCGATAAACTAAGCTTCTGTTATCAATCTCCCTGTGAGATTAGATTTTAAAACTGTCATCTTATCCCATCCATCCTATTGTACCGTTGTGTGTGATTGCATGTAGTGAGTGATGTAGCTGAACTATTCTCCACTTTCTTATATTACTAGTGCTAACTAATCCGGATCCTGCTAGGTTTCTATGCTCGGTTAGTCTAACTGACTGCCGCTGTTCTACTAGTTTGACCTATGTATTTGACCTGACAATCATTGTAGCAGGGTATTAGATAAACTAGATTGTTCTGTTCAACAGGCGCCACAGAATCTTTCAATTGCCAGAGTTTGTTTCTAAGTGAGTATGTGAGTCTAAATGACACTTTTATTCCTGCATTGTTAAGAATTCTCCAAAAGGTTTCCAAGGTTCCTCCTTTGCATAGAAGAACTAATGGTAATTTAAAATCCTTATTGTTAGTGTTGTCATTATTCTGTGCATGCTTATCATGCATATCGTCATTATTACTGTTATTATTACTGGTATCAGTATTACTGCCATTTTTATAATTACTAATTTTATTTTTATATTTACCTACATACTTCCTGATTATTGAGATAAGAGTGGAACTTGTGCACTGTGGTAGAGGAAAACTTATTTTGATAAAGTCTCATTATAGTATGCAATAATTTTTTTGCTGATGATATTTCGAGCACAATTTATCGCTGCTCATAATCATACCAAGACAGTAGTCACACAACTTTCCAACTTCGTTTATATGACTCTACTATTTCTAATCTCTTGATTTAATTGGTGGTGGTACTTTCCACATCTCTGGTATTAGTGATGAGTCATTCCTACTGCTTTTGTTGAGTGTAGATTCCATGAACAAAGATTCAGCAATCAAACTCTCTCTCTCCCAACCTATATCTAATTCCTTTCAGAATTTTAACCCTCTCACCCTATTATGTAGTTGTGTGTTAATGCATGCAGTGCAATTGCTCACCTTTTTTCTAAATTACTTATTTTCTCGGGGTCAACTATTCTTACCTTAGCTAAATTCTTATGTTCCGACAATCTAACTACTCCCGACCTACTAGTTTGACCTATGTAGTTGACCTAACTCACAGTCATTGCAGGGTATTTTGTAAATCATATTATTTTGTCTGATTGAGTCCACCGGTTCTTTTAGCCTACAGAGCTATTCGCTGAGTGAGTTTGTAAGTTTAAATGCCACTCCAATTCCTGCTTTATTAAGAATCCTATATAGGGTCTCATATATCCCCTCCTTATATGGTAGAACTGTAGGTGCCTTATATTCTCTCTCATTTATGTTAGCATAATTAGTTCCCACATTATTTTTATAGACAAACAGAAGGTGTAGCAATCAGATGGGTCACTAATATCCCCTATCGTAGCAGATATATTTATGGATAGTTGGGAAAATATGGCTCTCAGTATATTTAATCATACTCCTAAAATATGGTGGGGATATGTGGATGATAGTTTCACAGTGTTGAAAGCAGAACATATCTCCAGCTTCTTGACACACATATAAACTCACCAGTAGAGGGAATAAAATTCACATTTGAATCGGAAAATGAACAAGGAGAATTAGCTATGTTAGATTGTAAGATAAAACGACTAGAAGAAGGCAAACTACACACCAGTGTTTATAGAAAACCAACGCATTCTAATATTGGATATTTAGACTTTATTTCGTCTGATCCGTTAACTGTTAAGACAGGCTTAGTAAAGTATCTAACAAACCGAGCTATAGCACTAAGTAGCACAAGAAAAGACCTAAATGACGAAATAAAACAGATAGAAGAAGCGTTGGTATCAAATAACTATCCTATAAAATTCATCAGGAAGATCAGAAAAGGTCAACTGGAAATACATACAGAAGAAATGACTTAACACCTCCCCACGAAGACATCTGGAAGGTGTTTTACTACCTCAATGACGATTAGGCAGAAAATTACAACAAAACGAAAGTTTCGAAGTTGTACAGCAACAGCTGGTGATATGAATATGAAGAATAATTAATTGTGTTCGAAACTTTGTTATCCACTAGTAAATAATACTGTTTCACGCTGTGTGATACATATATATATTTAGTAAACAAAGTATAGTAAAGGACCGACAAACACATATTGAAATAAAAGTTAATTCACTGCCTAACTCTTCTTCCTTTGATTCATATAAACAACAAGAAGAGAAGTAAAGACTCAAATACGCACTGTTCAATAGATCTTTTATTATATTGGACAATGAACATATTACCGACAGAAAAACAACAAACAATGAAATTCAACATTGGCGTTACAATTTTATTTATTCCATCATTCTATGAATGCATTGATTGTAAGCATTATTATGCCACATAATAATCAATTAGTTTTATTATATATGTATATACAATTATTAAGAGGGCTTTTTAAAATTCCACGTTACTATAGTAACTGTTTACTATCATTAGAATGTTTCGAAGAATCTGGCAATTCTCCACCTTCAGCTAATTCAGATTGTCTTGATTGTTGCTCCGCTTTAGTAGTAGTTGATTGTTGTTGATTCAACAATGGTCTAGTTGATTCACCATCCTCTTTTCTATCTGCATTCTCGTATTTTTCACACCCTTCAATCTGTCCTTTTCTACTGTTGTCATTATCTTGTTTCACGGATTCTGTTGAGGATAACTTTTTCTCTGCATCTGATCTGGAATCATCAGTCTTTAAGCGAATGGTTATTTGTTCATCTTTAGCCATTAGACTATCAGACAATAAACACTTTTGATCACTCTTATTACTATTATCATTATTATTATTATTGTTTCCTTCACCGAGAAAAGCGCTTCTTTTCACCTGAGGCTTTCGCTTTCTCCTCCTCTTAGAATAATGCTGTTTATGCCTAGTGAAAAATCCACAGCAATACAACAGAGCACTTAACAGCATTAATATCAGTAGGCCAACAGTTATACCAACCACAATTGGCCATAATGGCATTTTATGTGTTACTTTCAATTGAACACTATGAAATATAATTGATTGTTTAATTTCAAAATAATTATTATTGTCTGCTGGATATTTAATATCTATAAATTTGTTAGTAGTAGTATTCATCTTTGCCTCATTATTTTGATGCAGATTTTCTTGAATACTTTGATATAGCTTAATCATACCGGGTAAATTACCCCACTGTTCAATATTCAATCTACTAATGAATTGTATATCAGATTTGTGTAGTTTAAAAAATGTTTCAGCCCATAACCAACCAGTCCATTTAATTCTTACGGTATCTCCAGCCTGTAATTGATTTAAATTACACTTAATGCGAATACATTTAATCAGATGAGTGTATTCAGTAGTTTGAAAATTTTTGGTTTTATTTATACTATCCATTAAATATGGACATTTGAGGATTATCCTGCCTTTATGAGCACGTCGTAATGAAGAAGGATTTAAACTGGTTGATGTTTCACGTAGAAATGTCCTTGTATGTTCAGTGGATAACTGTGACTTGGTATGAAAGTCAGCTGTCCTTTTAAATCGTTTTCTGATTCTCACACGTGGATCGTGGGCGGATTTTCGGGATCTTTCATCTGTGAAATAAATATAAACGAGAGAGAGAGAGTAAAAAACAATGAAAATGGTATGTGCTACTTACAAAATTTATCAGTAGTATATAGACAGACATTGGTCAGCTTTAAAAAACATCAAATAGCAGGGAAATTGATTTGATAATAAAGGAAAAGCAGATGATACAGCGTCGCGGAGAAACATGGGAGATTTGAAATGAACACAAACAAACGCAACACGAAGGAAGGCGAGAAGTAGCTCAGCACGGAAGATCTGTCTGTGTAAATGGTGATTTGAGGATAAAGTGTAAATAATTTCGCCATACAGAAGTACCAAATTGTCAAAATAAACATCTCCCTACCAAGTCTTCGTCTTTTAAAGTTACAGGTAGGCCTTTCTGACAATTATCGTATCGTTCATCAATATATAAATAAATCCTAAATTCAGAATATTTTATTTTCACGAGTTGATCACGGATTGATTTCATTTAGAGAACCATTGAAAACCAACATGGAGTACTGGACAGCTGTTTCATCCTGGTTTAGGAACCATCAGCAGTACACACTCCAGGACCTTCCGGTTACAAGGCAAGCTCGTATACCATTCAGCCACTGGGTCCGATTCAGTGGCTGTCTCATGAATTTTAACTTCTACCGATTCGTGATTTAGCGCAACCCCAACCATTGTTGTAGGTGGGACTTCCATCCTCACACGTGACATCTGAATGGGCCTCACTGGTCACGACTTTTCATTAGAACTCCACGAAACTCCATCCTATAGCAAGTCACTCGCCAGCGAGCATTAGATAAATTTTCTATAGTTTGGTTTGTAAGGGTCCCAGTTGCTGAATGGTATACAAGCTCGCTGGTCTTGTAACCAGAAGGTCCTGGGTTCGAACCCCAGTGAATGCGTTCTGCCAATGATTCCGAAACCAGGATGAAACAGCTGTCCAGTACTCCATGTTGCTTTACAATGGTTCTCTAACTGATATTAATCCGTGATCAACTCGTAAAAACAAAACTAACCCTTACAAACCAAACTACAGAATATTCTAGCCAGTGAATATTATTAAATTACGCCAAAGTATATTAAAATATTCTCACCATGTTATAATTTTGAAGTCACAAATTTTAGTCGTATTTTTGGGCTATATAGCTCAACTATGATGTGGCAGAAACGGGTGGTTATATGGTATGCCCATTTTTTGAAGTTGCTCCACCTGCTATTTCCGGTGGGTATTAGAATGTTTCAATAAATAGGGCCCAAATATACCAACCAGCAATATTTCATGAAAATTCAATAATACACCTTTAAATTTTGAATCTAATACCTCTTTCACTCTATTACAACACTACGCAAATATCAGTATCAAGCGAAATTTTCTGATAAAAGTACAGCAAATGTAACGCAGTTCAAGAATATAATGCCGTCGATAATACGTTCACCAGAAATAACTTTTTTTTAACTTCAAATTTCATTTGAAAAACATACAAAAAATATGAATTTTCATTTAACCAGCATAGCAACGAACTACGACGCTACACTTAGCGGGGCTGTGCAATAAAGCTATGCGATAAAAACTATATTCGTCAATGACTGAATGGAAAATTTTGTTATCGTATGCTGTGTACTACTGACAATGCTTGTTAGTAGTATATACATGCAGATATAAATGTGTATATCACCTCTATAAGAATATAGAATAAAACGCAAAGGTGGATGGATTTCATGGTGAAGGTCAGAAATTAAGAACACTCGTGAAAAAAACAAAAAAATACAGAACGAAGACAAAGAAGTACAATACCGGAGATAAGTGTATATTTTGAGTCTAATATATCGCAGACGTATTTTGCCCATATCTGTGTATCGAATTTCCAGTAAATATTCCGTTGTCTCAAATACTTTTATGATCTGCCTTTGCAGACTTATCAAAGAGTATACTGATGGAGTGTTATTAATAACACTAACGGCAG